AAAAAAAAAAAAACAACCTAAACATTTTCCATTTCAAAGAAAATTTTGCTTTTCATGCCATCAGAAACAGTATTTTCTTCCCAAATTAAAATAAAAGAAATACGATCACTTCTTGGGAGGAGGGATGTGTAGCTGAACACAAGCTTATTTTTAAAATAAAAATATTTTAAAACTGGGTTTCCTTCTTGAAAAATATGTGTATTAGAGTCATAAAACCCTGTTAAAAATAAAGTTTACTTTGAGATGCACAGTTTTAAAATTATAATCTCCTATTCAAATTTATAAAGCTCTTGATCTTTTGTTGTAATTTTCATGTGTGTTTAAGTATCTGCATTTATCTTTTTTCCTAATTTTCTAATGCTAATGTTATTTCTTATAATTCAGTAACATAGAGGATAAAATAATGCTTTTGGAAGAATGTTTAGAAAATTAAAATGGTTCTTCCTGGTTTCTCTTGTTTTTTTTGTTTTTGTTTTTTCTTAATCAGGCCCAGGCAAGGTGCGAACTCCCCAACCTCCCCATCCCCAGTTTGCAGGGCTAGTGCTCTACTGAGCTATGGTGTCCAGCTCCTTTGTTTTTATTTATATATTTTTTTCCTTTTTTTAAGAGACAGAGTCTCACTTTGTCGCCCTCACTAGAGTGCTATAGTGTCACAGCTCACAGCAACCTCCACCTCTTAGGCTTAGGCAATTCTCTTGCCTCAGCCTTCCGAGTAGCTGGGACTACAGGCGCCCACCACAACGCCCAGTTATTTTTTGTTGTTGTTGCAGTTCAGCTGTGGTTGGGTTCGAACCCACCACCTTTGGTATATGGGGTATATGGGGCCAGCACCCTCCTCATTGACCCACAGGTGCCTCCCTCCTTTGTTTTTATTATGTATGTTCTTTTTGCTTAGAATTTTCTAGATGATGGAGAATAAAGAGAAACATTGAGGGATTGAATGTTATCTGGACATGAACTACTACTACATCAGCTACTTTGACATGACGGCTAGCTCTTAAGCCTAAGAGGTTAGGAGCCTCTTAGCCCCGTAACTGCCTGCCCGGGCCTGTTTGCTAAACGGTTGGGAGAGGGGATTGTAAGTAGGTGGTCCTAAAGGTCCCTTCTGCTCTGAGAATCCTGAGTCTCCTCAGAGCCCAGAAGAACAGTCTGGGAGTTACCCGAGCACTGCCTTTGTGGTGTTCGCCTTTTACTTCATATCCAGGGGTTGGTAAGAGGTAAGAACCAGGTGGTTTCATTTGTGTAGATGTTAGGAGTCCCTTGCTACTGTGATCAGGACTGTGAATATGATTGCTCTTGAGCCACTTAGCTTTGAGTATTTTGTGACCAGCATTTGGTGATAGGGCAAGAGGGTAAATCAAGCTAATATAAAGGACTATTGCATAGAAGGGTGGAAACAGGCTTGGCCTATTCCAAAATTGCAGGGGGGGGGGGCAACGTGAGTGGAGTGAGCAGAAAGGTCCAGCCCTAGACCTACCGAGATTGGATGGGTACCCAGGAGCCAGTTATATTGGAATTCGTTCATTCTGGGGAGGCGTTTGTGTTTCATTCTCAGTGCAGTCAGGAGCTGTTGCTATTCCAGCTTTACCTGTGTTATTTCTCACTCAGACTGTGTATCTATCCTGCCTTCCTATCCTAAGTCTTGAGCCCAGGCTAATGGAGCAGGCCCTGTTTTAGAACATCATGTCCATCGTGGTGGAGGAAGAGAAACAGGTGAAGTGCTCACTGGCTGGTAAAGCTTCTGCCCAGAGGCGATACACATCACTCTTCCTCCATTTCATTGTCCAAAGAAAGTCACATGACCCACCTAAATTCAAACACCTATCGTGTACCAAAAGGAAAGAGTGGCATTGGAATATTGGTGAACAGAGCTGACGACCACCACTAAAGGGCTGTAAGCAGGGTAATTAAATGACATAAAGTGTCACTGTGGCTGCTGCATGGCAGATGGACACACGGCAGAGGCTGGGTGTCCAGGTGCAAAACCTTGGTGTCCTGGACTAGGGTAGTGGAGGTAGATCCAGGAAAACAGGCAGAGAGGTGGAGCTGGCTTCAGGATATAGAGACAAGAATGACTTGGGGTGACTGGCCAGTTGATCGGTAGATCATGGCTAGAGTGATAGCCCCAGTACAGTCCTGGCCTGTGTTGTTAAATGAAGGAAGAAGATAAGCTGAGTAACAATTTTATATTCACACAGAGGGTGTTTCTGAGAATGGGAGCCTGGTCACAGAATTGCATTCTCTATTACAAAGATCTTTTTGTAGCTCTGATGGTGAAAGAGAACATTAAAAATTCTTTCCCTAGCCTGACTTACCCTGATCTTTCTTTGAAAATATTTGCAGCTTCCCTTAACACTCTTTCGACTTCATACGGAAATAGCTTGAAGTATAGGCAGCCCGTGGGTTATGAACAAGATAGGTTCTGTAGATTCTTAAGTTGAATTTGTATGTAAGTTGGAATAGGTACATTTACCTATTTACCTGTGATAGCCTTCATTTGTAAGTGTAAGTCATGTCAGGCAGATATTTATAACTCGGGGATTGCCTGTAGTAAGAAAAATCAGTTTATTGGTGATCTCACTACATTTTATTTATTTATTTATTTTTGAGGCACAGTCTCACTTGGTCACCCAGGGTAGAATGCCATGGCATCATAGCTCACAGCAACTTCAAACTTTTAGGTTCAAGCGATTCTCTTGTCTCAGCCTCCCGAATAGCTGGGACTATAGGTGCCTGCCACAACACCGAGCTAGTATTTCTATTTTTTTTTTTTTTTTTTTTGCTGTTTTTTGGCCGGGGCTGGGTTTGAACCCACCACCACTGGCATATGGGGCCAACGCCCTACTCTTTTGAGCCACAGGTGCTGCCCAGTTTTTCTATTTTGAATAGAGATAGGGTCTTGTTCTTGCTCATGCTGGTCTTAAACTTCTGATTAAGAAGGTCTGATTTTTCACACGTCTGCTGCTGAGGGTCCATGTTACCACGTGGTGTGTAGAGTTAGTCACTGCTGCGGATACTGACGTGCTGGGAGCTTGTCAAAAAGTCAAGTGAAAAATTGAGAAATTTCAAGTTCTAGCATAAGCTCAAGCCATCCACCCGCCTCAGGCTCCCAGCCACCACCACTAACCATACCTGGCCTCACCTATATTTTTTAAAAACAAAGTAACTCAGGCTCAGTGCCTGTAGCTCAATGAGTAGGGTGCCAGCCACATACACTGAAGGCAGCAGGTTCTAGCCTGGCCCAGGTCTGCTAAACAACGACAACTACAACCAAAAAATAGCCGGGTACTGTGGCAGGTGCCTATAGTTCCAGCTACTCAGGAGGCTGAGGCAAGAGAATCACTTAAGCCCAAGAGTTGGCGGTTGCTGTGAGCTGTGACACTACCACGCTCTACCAAGGGCGACACAGTGAGACTCTGTCTCAAAAAAAAAAAAAAAAAAGTAGCTCAGTGAGTTCTTTGAGCATTAAAATCCTTAGTCTTATTGTTGTATGTGTCTGTCCAGATTTCTGTAATCCGGGTTGAATTTAAAGAGGGATGGTAATTGAAAGCACGATTAGGATGTTGAGTCCAGCTGGACGGAGAGATATGAGGAAGAGTCACTGAGGTGTGAATCTCAGGTCAAGCCTTGGATAGGTCCTGTCTCTGCCACCTGGAAGCTAAGTTAGGGTAAGACATTTAAGCCTTACCAGCTTTTAGTATCTTCCTCTACAAAAGGGGGGACACTGAATTCTTTTTGACAGTCACTCTCCTTAGACTATACACCCCTTGAATACAGAAAGCCTTACTTGTCTCTGCCTCTAGTGTGATGCAGCATCCACCAAGGTAAGAGCCCTAACTTTCTTGAAGAGGATTAGAGAATGATCGTTAAAGTTCTTTAAAATTGTACAGTTCTTACATTCAATCACACATAAATACAAGTTCCTTCTGTCACCTTAGGAAAAATGAAATTCTACAATTAACAGTTTCATCTTCTGAAACTTTAGCAGTCTCAGAAAATAACACATTTGGAGCAGCCTGGTATAGTGGTAAAACGCTGGGGCCCATTAGATGTGGGTTTTGGCTCTCCCTGTGGCACTTAACGCAGCTTTGGGTCCTTGAGCTGATGATAGGAAAGGACTGAGTCTGTTTCCCCTTCTGTAAATAATGGAATAATAGGCCAGGGACAGGGGTTCACACATATAATGCCGGTGCTTTGGGAGGCTGAGGCAGGAGGATTGCTTGAGGCCAGGAATTTGAGACTAGATTTAGCAATATAGCAAGACCTTGTCTCAACAAAAATTAAATTGTCCTGGTGTGGTGGCACATACCTGTAGTCCCAGCTGCTCAGGAGGCTGAGGATCATTGCTGGAGCTCAGGAGTTTGAGAACAGCCTGAGCACGACCAAGACCCTGGGGCAAGAGGCTCACTTGAGCCCCCGAGAGTTGGAGGTTGCTGTGAGCTATAACGTCACAGTACCGTAGTCTGGGAGACAGAGTAAGCCTACCTTGCTGGTTGTTAAGAGAAGTCACAAATAGCTGTAAAGGGTCAAGCACATAGTAGGTACTGATTAGCCGCTGCCTAATGTTTATTTGAGAACTTTTTTAACATGAAGAATTCATTCTTTGGAACATTTTGTGACAAGCCTTTTAGTTCAGATAATCAGCTGGCTTCAGAATTGAGGGAACTTTCTTTTATTGACTGTTTACATCTTTTTTTTTCCTTTTTTTTTTTTTTTTTTTTTGAGACGGAGCCTCAAGCTATCCCCCTGGGTAGAGTGCTGTGGCATCACACTCACAGCAACCTCCAACTCCTGGGCTCAAGCGAGTCTCCTGCCTCAGCCTCCCAAGTAGCTGGGACTACAGGCACCCGCCACAGCGCCTGGCCATTTTTTGGTTGCAGCCATCATTGTTGTTTGGTGGCCGGGCTGGGGATTCGAACCCGCCACCTTAGGTGTATGTGGCTGGCGCCTTAGCCGCTTGAGCCACAGGCGCCGAGCCGA